ATTGGAGATGCACCCCCACTTTAACTTTAGTAGTGAAACTACCCAGTTTGCTAAGATTCCAGGTGGTTCAGACTTACTCCTGTCTGCTGAACTATTGAGTTTGGACAGTATTAGCATTTAATGCACATATTAGCACAAATGCATTCATTCACACAATGACAGATGCATTTTCTTTTTGGACGTGTCACCCCCCGCCCCAACTCCAACACTAGCCTACCTTACCCTGAGCTATCTGTCAGATCAGCCACCCTGCGTTATTCTGTCCACCTGACTACTTCTGAGCTGCCATCCCTAAGCCCTAACTCCCAGACCTACTCAAATCCAGCCCATTTCCACTGCAAATTACCTGTTGCCTCCTTATTTGCTCAGATGCCACAAAGTATCATCATCTGCTCTGATCCATTCCGAGATCCCCAGAACCATCTCTAGCTGAGACACTTGACCATTAGATGGGTCTTTTCGGCAGGAAAGAACGTATATAACAGCATACAAATTAAGATGCCAGTCGTGTCAGAACTCTGGAACAAATCCTGCAGTTCCATTCTTCTCCACCCTTCCTAATTCTTCTGCAGGGCCATGTATCTCTCACTGCCAGCTCTGAGACACTGAATCATAAGATAAGTGCAGTTTGTTAAAGACTGACATAGGCTTTGGCTCAGCTGGTCCTATCACTAAAAGGATTGTGTCTCTCATTAATTTCAACCTGTCAGCAGAGGTTTCAGGGCAGAATGAAGGAACCTGCCACCCTGTATGTTTCTGATTAATACAACTTCTCAGAAGGTGCCTGGAGATCCATCAACAATCTTAATTAAATCCAACCAAATGGATGACAGTTAATCATTAAGGGAGTGGCTCTCTTGGGATAATGGCTGAAGAGTGCATACGTAAGGATGGTAAGGGAGGCAGATGGCTGCTTGTCTAACGTAGCAAAGCCTGTTTAAACAGTGATGTCCCTGATGGCTGTGTTTCAATTCATTTTATTCCGTTCCCAGTCCTTTAGGAGTTATTTGTTCTTCCACGCCTGTTAAAACCACCCTCTGCCAAGGTGCAAGAGGGGCATTTCTGCTGTGATTCTCCATCTGCTACACTTTGCAGACCATTTCCAGGGAAAGAAGCTCATATTCTCCTTTCCCTCCAAATATACACATCCATTGTTGCTTGGCTGTCGTTATACTCACCATCACAGAGCACCCAGAGATCCTTCAGTCTGAAAATTACTACACTAACAGAAATAAGAAAAGGCAATTCTTTTTCAGTTCTAGAAATTACCAATGTTAGGTATCAAATCAATATATTTCAGTAAGGTTGTTTGCTCCCTAGAAACAGCAGTCCTGGTTAAAGGACAGAAAACACAGACTACTAGTTCAGTATATAAAATACCCAGCTTCTTACTGAAACAATAGGCAGCATCTGGTATCACAGTTTTGGCAAAATGAGAACTTTAGTTTATCCAGTGCAATGAATTGGATTGCTAGATTTTTAACCTGTCAGACATTTGCTTCTCCTCTCCCACCTCCGAGAGGGCATAAACTTATCCCTAAGCTTGTCAAGTCAATTCCAAGACACAGCATCAATAGCATCTGCTAGTGTTGAGCAGTAATGAGGAGATATCTATTTTTAGAACATTAATGCTAGTGAATAAAGCTATCCTGACAGCTTTGAAATCCTCGCACTAGTCACACAGTAAACAGGCAAAATGCATGACAAATAGTGAAGTGACTCACCCTAGTTATTAGAAGCCTACCAAAGGGTTTACAGATGTAATCTCTTTATCATCCTCTGTATTTGATATCTTTGCTAAAATTCCTGATTAGTCTCAGTTGTGTGTTTTTATGAGTACGGGCACCTGCACTGTAAGAACTTCATTAAGAAAGATGATGTATACACTGTTCAGTGGGAGTATCGTGTAAGCCTTCCAGTAGTCACAATATGAGTGGTGACATTCAGCCACCATCTAGTTGGTTTGGATTCAAAGCAGTGAAGTAAGAAATCAAGTTAGCATTCAAGAATAGAAATCAGAAACCTTTTTCAAAAATATTAATAGTTGCTCCTGTGACCTTCTTCCTTGTCTGCATTCATATACTTGCATTAGTAGAAAGGCAACTAGGATCGTAAATTGAATTCACTTTGGCTAAGACTAGCAGTAGTCTTTGGACATTATATAGCAATCCTTTCAAATGCATTATTAAGTAAATTAATCGCAAACTCTTCAAGGGTATGAGACCCAGCTTCTCCTCCTGCCTCCTCCGAATAACAGAAGAGAGATGAAAGCAAAGCCCTGGTGGTAGAACCACCTGTATTCAACATTTTGCAGTCCTGGCTGTGCAGAGAAGTGGATGTTGTGAAGGTCAGTCAGCAGCCTGGAACAGAACTGCAGCCACAGCTCTTTAGCCAGCTAGGGAGGATTCCCGCCTCTCCTGCCCCTGAGGAGTTCTCCTGGCAGCTACACAAGTTATTCATACTATGCACTGGAAGAAAGATTTCAGCCTTAATTCTTGTGCACCATGTACAATAAGTGAAACACCTTTAGTACATTAATATAGGCAATAGACACAGTTTATAAATCATGGACATATTGTGAGATACAGGAGATGATAAAGCTAGTATGATCTATTACTACAAAAAACCCTCTGTGGATACAAGAGAAACACAAGGCTTGGGTGAGCATCCCAGCTGTGAAGAGAAGTAGCTGATACTCATTACCTTTTGAGCAGTTCACCACCTGTAAGACTGTAAAAAAGTTAAACCTAGGAAGACATTAAGAACTCAGAAGAGAAAGCTATTGAAACTGGCTTGTGACTCTTAACTACAAACTAAAAGTGGTACTTTGAAAAACTCAGACAAAAATCAGAGAATATCTGTGATAAAGTTACTTTCATATCTGTGCTACTTTCATACCTGTGTTAAGAAGGGATATGGCAATCACAAATACTTGTGCTTGGCAACAGTCATGAAGCTCAAAGCAACAGTCTTCTGTAGTACATACATGTAGCAAAAAAACCCACAACCCCAAACAAAAAAAAACAGTAGGAATAACAAAAATATCATTAAACTGTTCAATAGAAGTTGATATTCAGATGTGAAGCAGACTTAATTTGTTTTATCTTAATTTATTTCTCAAGCACATTGTGGCCACTTCAATCCTAAATACACATACCTGTAATCTTAATCCGATTTGAGTAATCCACTTTAACAATTAATTCAGACATATTCACTTAGGTACTGACATCTCCTGAGTAACTGAAAAAAAAAAAGGAATGTAAACTGATGAACGCATTTTAGCTGAAGAACCACTTGTTACTATTATTACAGAAGAGATATAAAAAAGCAGTCTTCTCCTAAAAAAAATAATCAGGTGAGATCGGTGTGTAATGTATGCGTTTCCTACATTTACAAGAATACAGTGACAGTTATGGGTCTGAAGTCTCCTCTGTCAAGGTGCCCTGATTTTAACACTGCAATATTGTATATCACCTGAGAGGCAAACATTAAAATGCGTATCACTACCTATACTAATATTATACCTGTAATATCGTATCTATAACATTATGAATGGGAATTTGAGGAAAAAAAAAAGATATTAAGCCATCCATCCACAGCTAAGCAATAGATAGTGACTTAATTAGGGACAGAATGTAGATTTACTCCTGTTCCTAACTTTCACTAACAGGCTTCAGACTTCCCATAGAAATGCATGAACTGCCTTACAAAATGAAATTACCCCGGAGAGTCTAGACTTTCATTGCCAACATTCTGTCTTAGGCATGGATAAACTCTGGCTATTTAGTCAGTAGTTACTTCTGAACAGGGAGGAGAAATGCAGAAATAAAATCCCATTATACCATTAAAGACATCACTGCAATGTGGCCATATTTACCTGTGCTTTTAAACCCCTCACACTAAGTGAATTAGTCTCCCTTCAACGCAAGATCAATTATTTCAGAAAGGTGCACAACACGGCAGGGAACAGTGGACTTCATTTATATCTGTAAGAGATATAGGCTATGCAACAATGAAGATCTATCCACATGTCATCACTTAGTTTTATGAACTCCAGTCACAGACCAGGATCGTGCTGTGTTAAGATTTGGTAGAGATACAAAACCACTTCAGTGCACCTGATTCTGATCATCCACTTCAGCATAGAAAGACTGCAAGGTTTGTATCCAAACTGCAGAGACCACTGGAAAGGCACCATTGTTAAAATGTATTTATCTTTGCAGAAAGCTGCAGATACTCAAAAAGAACAAATCAAAGGCCTCTGAATTGCTGGCATTAAAGAAATCAAGATTATAGCTGGGATTTCAGATTTGATGGAAACTTCAAAGAACCAAAGCATACTAATTTTACTCTAGTTCTGCACAATACCAGGTAATACACTTTCTGGTGTGAAATACTTTGTTCAAAGTTGTGAATTAAATAATTTAGTCTGTCATACCATTGTAGGTACCACCTGGAAAGTTAGCAAAAGAGGAAGATTTGGCAGAGAGTAAGTGATCTGCCTATAGCCCATAGCTATTCAGTTACCTTGAAAAGTAGGAGTATTTGAGGCATGTTTACTTGGGGAGAAGAGACTTTATTGCTGCAATTTCATAAGGCACAATTGCTCTCCACAGACATTTCTTTTGAAACTCCTTCACTGGAAAAGTTATTTGTTAATAGCAGTTAAAAGTACACCTTAATGAGGAGAGTAAGTGACTGATAAAATACTTATAAAAAACGATTAGTATTTGGGAGATTAAAAAAATCCCTGAAATAACTTAGGGCATTTGAGCAAGAGTCTGAAGAAGTGTTTGTCTGAAGTCATGTAAGCCACAAGGAAACTATACCAAATGCAAAAGGAGAGTAAATTCCTCTTTTGCCCCACATGTTGACACCTGCAAGTCAGGAGCAGCTTCACACCACAGACCTGAAATTGAAATCAAAGCAGTTGCTAAGATCTCCACCACTGAAACTTACTCACTTCATACACCAGAAAAAAATAGTCTCTGCGAGAGCTTTCTTCTATTCCAAGGCAAACATTTGGAGCGAGGTAAGAATTTGCAGTTTCAACTTTCAATCCAATTTTCAAATCAAGTTCTTACAAAGATGGGTCAGTGTTGCCTCGTTCTCTTGAGAAAAATCTCATGCATATAGTCCCAAAATCTTCCCTGATGCGACTCATTGCGATGAATCATAGCAGTGAGGGCCTCACCCTGATCAAGGCTTTGCCAATAATCCTGCAGCCACATCTCTTTCCAACTGAAACAAAAAAGAGACACCACCATAAACCATTAAAAAAACAAACGAGTCTGCAGCTGTAATAGCACTGAAACCATTTTTTTTTTTCTTTCACCCAACGGGAAAACAGGCTCAGGGATGGTCAAAACAAAGTATGTTATTACCATGCCATTGCATTCCAAGTCATTTAAAGAAACTTGCTATGAAAATTCTCTACAGAAAATGTAAGTTCAGCATTAGCTTTACCACATTCTAGAAATATCAGCATGTGACTGTAGTGTTAACCAAAAAGACTAAATTAAGTGCAGAGAATAAAAACTTCTAAAACTTATAGCAAAATCTAGCACAGAGTAGCTTTCCATGTCCAGCATGTGTATAACAGCATAATAATCAAATTTATTTTTTTTTTCCAGATAAACCATTTAACAATTAGAAAATGACAGTACTCATTACAAACTCAGGTTATACATGGCAGAGACAAAAAAATCAGTATATCGCTCAACCCTGACTCTATTCTTTATCTCCAGACTATGTAGTCAAGTATACACTTTCTTTTTTTCAATGCACACATTCTCAAACTTTTCATAGCACACACTACATCACTGCAGCTTTCAGCAATTCCCTTCCCATTCATGATCATGTGGACTACTTCTCTCATTTGCGGTATATCAAGGTACGGCAATAATTTATTTATCTCTTCTCCATTATATCTGCTACCCAGCCATGTAGGCGCATCACAGATTTTGGACAGAAGGACCAAACACGATGCTCTTTTTAATCTGTCCATATGAGTTACCCGATATTTGTTAACTTATACACAGAGCTTTTTGCTTTTTCTCCCTCTTAATCACAGAAATAAGTACACTGCCTTCTGCGTTCACTCTATACACCATATATTAAAGCAAGCACAGCTGCACTGCCCAGATGCAGCTCTCACCCACTAGTCGAGGAAGACCGAAATAAATGTACAACACATCATAGTCGCTTTCTTTGTGGAGCAGCATACACCTCATATGCCATGGGAATTGATTTTCTGTGATCAACAGCATCATCTATGATAGGACATTTCTACAGTGTTCACGAACAGAGACATCAATATAAACCTTTTAACATAGATTACAATGTGAAGGATCATAGACAGAGGCTACTTTGGCATTAAAAAAAAAAAAAAAGTCTGCCAAAAGGTTCCTTTGTAAAATGCAGCACTTGAATGTACTGTGAGATCATGCTGCTTACCAGCTAAATTAATTAACCTTTGTTCAAGGACTGCCAAGATGAGTTACTTGTTTTTTATAGCACTGAATAAGTGCACACTTTAGGAAAATGAGTATATATGCATTAAGTACTAGACAAAAGACTAAGTGGCAGTAGGTAACAGAAAAACGAAAATGTTTTCCAGCTGAACTGTATGGAAACAACACTGAAAGGAATTCCAGTATCCAAGTGGAGACTTTTGTCAAAAATACTAAATAAGAACACTTTGATATTTTTCTTTTTACATTGCTATTACTGGTTTTTAAGAAAATAATTTCACTTTGATTCTGTAACTTGTAAAAAATTGGTACCCCAGGATGAACAGGACTGTACAAATATCTGAAACTACCAAGTACATACACCTGAAACGTTATTACCATGAAATACGGATCTATCTTTAATCCTGGCTGATTATTGAATTCTATCACAAGAGACACCTTACAATGTACAGGTGGCAAATTTGATACACTTTCAAGCTGGTTTTCCTCTTGTCATAAATAAACTGTGACTCCGATATAAAATGGAACTAGCAAAACCACAATGGTTTCAAAATATGCATTTATCAAAGGCGCACTGGCTTCTGTTTTCTCATGCTACCACCAATGCAAACTGTGTAGGTAACTGGAAAGGTATTGTCACTTAGTCTTCTTATAGTTATTCTCTCAAACACTTTTGGAAAACGAATCCTTATCAACGAAACAAACCAAACATTTCTCTTCGCAAAGGTGAGAGTCCAAGAATAACTGGAGATGCCGGTTCCTACTAAACAGATACTGCACTCATCACTAGCACTGCAACTCACTAGTGTCAAGCCCAGAGGTCCAGACACAAGCGAGGCTGCGAGCATAAGGATTTAGGAACCACGTCTCCACACTTAAGAGCTAAAGGACAGCAAGGTGAAGGTATAATAATGTGCTCCAACTACATGCACCTACATAAAGAGAGATTTTGGTGCAACAGTTCTGTTAATTCAGCACATTCATCAACCCTAAAAACAAATTACATCTGGGAATAAGGGTTACAGAACATGCAGATGCGCAGGGTAACTATGTTGTAATTGGGCACTTGCTCTAAAAATATATAAACTCCAATTGCCTTTGTTGTTCTCTGAGCTCCAAAAGCCTCCAGAACCCCAAAATCACAGTGTATGTTTATAGTCAGAGCTTGTATGTTACACATATTCTATCACTTGTAACCCCACTAGGCATGCATCATTTTTCCACAATGTTTTCTAAAGTAACAAAATACACAATTGACTGGCTCACTAGACAGTCATCTAAATTGATCATATTGTTGATGTACTATTACCATCAAACTGACAAAATATGAGCATGTTTAGCTAATGCTTTGGTGGCAATTTTGTGCTACTGTCACATCATATACAATTCTAAGTAATCATGTTCCATTTTTGAGATAAAAATGGTGAAAGCTCAGATGCTTATGAGATAGAACCCACTGTATTTCACCAGACATCCCCTTGATCATGCCTTGGAAGGTATAGATACATATCTTTCTAAAGGACATAGCAGACAATGCAAAAGCTTCCCTGGTACAATTTTTCCAGACACATCTCATGTTTATAAACACGGGGAGAATAACACGCTATGGTTCAATGAGACATGGAAACTTCCGTGGGATGCAACTGTAACTTGGATTATGGACCAAGGGTTCAAAACTCCTTGCTGATGACCACTGCACAGAACGATGGAGTAACTCAGCTCGCACCTAAGGGGCATGGGCACTTTATGCTGTGCCTTCAAAGATACTTCTCTACTGCCATCTGCTGCTCAAGCAAAAGAAAATCAATGAAAAAGTAGAGAATACTCTTCCAGAGTAGGATGCTGCACAGCATGCTACAAGGGAAAAGCATGTTTTGCTACTGAGACTGAGAAAAGCTCAAATAAATCAACCAACCAACAGAAAACAAAGGATTATGGGCCCCTTTTACTTACAAGCCTAAATTTTCAATTAGTCAATATGAGAATCAATTGTACTGTGAAAAATGCTTTTTAATGACGAACATTGAAAGTTTTGTGAAACAGGCATTTCCTAAAGAACCTGAATGACGTCAGGCTTATTCTCCTTTTTTTTTAATTTCAGTTGGCTGTTTTTGAAAGCATCCACAGATAGGAAGAAGTGGTTCCCCACACTTGCAAAATACTTCATACTTTTTTGTGGATGGATAACTTAATAAAACTCTCTTAGAGCCTTATATCCACATGGAACTTAGTTCTGGGTTTCAGTACTTGAAATGATGGATTCTACATTTTCAACATACTGTTTCTTCTAACACTTTAATACTCCTAAGAATTCAATTCCTTAATCTAGGAAACTACTAACAAAGCTGTAAACTGATATGAACTGGGATAGAATATATTGACAACTTCCTTCTGGACAGTGCATAAGATCTTCCCAGTATTTTCAGAAAGTCATTAATTTAATACTACAGTGGGACTAACATCAGAACACTGAAATGTTTGGTGACAAGATCTGCTATGGCCAAGGATTTGTCTTTATGATGGCTGTTTGTTATAGAAAGTGAATTGCATGCATTTGAGCAATTGCCTAAAAAAGAAAGAAATCATTACACGTAATGCAAAGAAAAATTACAAGCCTGGGGGATTCAAACACGTTATGCACTACAAAAAGTGCACACATGATTTATGAACTGCGAGAACCCTTCCTTCCAGGAACTGCAACTCCTAACACCGTGAACGGAAAAAATCAATGTTTGGGAACACAAGCGCTAACTTGTTTTGTACCAATGCATGTATAAATGCTAAGGACTAAGCAGACCATGCCAACAAAACTCTATTCTGCTTGTCAAAAGTGGTTGCCTGAGGGTTGGTGCGGTTAGTTCCCTGCTGACAGACTTCAGGGCAGCTCCCACTAGAGATGGCTAACACTGGGCCTCAGGCCTGGGAGATTCCAGCAACACTAGCAATCCCTGTGCACAAAGGGGACAAGAAACAACTCAACCTATTCTCTGTCCTGCATGGTCCCTCTCCTAAACAAATGGGATGGTGTCCTTTAACACAAGCCAGAATGCTGTCACACAAAACAACAAGAATTCTTGTAAAGCATTTTGGGTGAACCTAACTTCTGCTCTAAAGTCAACGTGAGTGAACCGGGTCTGCACTGTAACAGTGGCAACGCCATTCTGAACGCAGTGCTTTGTAACAAGTTATAGAGCTTCTTTTACTACCAAGTGCTTTACCATTACTGTACTAAAAAACACCCCTCCTCGAAACAAACAAACAAAGAGGCTAGGACAGACAAAGGAGAACCACATTGCCCAAGGTCACAGAGCATTTTAACAATATTATGGCTGTTTCATGCTCCTCATTCAACCACTAACCAATACCACCGTCCAAGCCTCTTTTTCAGCCTCAGTGTTACACAATATTAGCAGAACTACCATACCACCCACGAGATATAATATAAAGTGTAACTGGAGATGTATTAAGAGATCCTTTAATTACAAAGCATTATGAAAAGTTCAAGCTACTATTATTTGAAGCTTTTTTCCCTTCAAAAAGCATAGTATTGGTACATTACCTGTCTCCTCCAGAGAGGTCTTCGACACTTCCAAACCCAGGAGTTGGCATAGGACATCCCATGTGCTTGAATTGAGCTATGCGAGGTCTAGGAGCTGGAATCTTCCCATGGGACTTTTTGTGTTCCTGCTCCTCTTTGACTCGGGTGTTCTCCCTGTCACAGATGAAGCACTCAAAGCCATTCAGGTAATTGGGCAGAGTCATGTCGTTCACACCCCACTCTCGCCTCTCCAAGTTCTCTAGCAAGAACTGGTTTTTGATTCCACCAAGGTTTTTATACTCTAGATATTTCATGTATTCCTCTCCATTCTTGTCCAGGAAATCAAGATACTTTGCCAGCTCTTGGGGGCTATCAAAGTCATCTATAAGAATGATGGAGAGGTTGTTTGGCATCCAGTCCCGCACAGCTGGGGAGCCTCGGTATACTGGGACAGCACCCAAGTGCATTGGACGCCACAGCTTCTCTGTCATGTAGTCGTCACATATGGCATTCTCCAAGGCCAGATGAAACTTGTACCTGGCGATAAAAGTCATAAATTCAGAATCTTCTGTAGTGGCTGTAGAAGTGTCTCTCAGTCGCTCACTGGGAAGCTCACGGTTATGCAGGCATTTCCCATAGGAGTCAACCTAAAAGAACAACCAGCATCTTTACAAAGTGATTTGTTTGCATAGAACTTGTTTTCAGAGCTCATAGTTCTTGTAATCAGTTCCTAGCTACCTTAGTTTAGCTTCCCCTTCAGTCCAAGTTCTCTCCCTTATGACTATTCCTACAGCCCCAATTTTAACAGCTTTACAGGAACCCGAGTACTCAGTTTCAAAAGCAGCATAAACTATGCTACAGATTGAGGGGTGGGGGGAGCGTGCAGAAAGGAAGATGTCACCTAGAAATGTATTTACTACTGTATAAATCAGAAACCGAGAGGTAAGGAAGGGCATTCAACTCACTTTAAAAGTCATCTTTCTACTTAACAGAGACTCGGTCCTTTTCCAAACAGTTATTAAACACAGTTCCTGCTAATCCCAGCAGGCTGGCAAATATTTTCTATTTGTTAGACTGAAAAAAATTGACGCTGGGAGCTAAAAGAATACTGTCTAAAAATGAAAGACAATACACCTGAGCGGAATCTGCTTCATACTTTGACAATATACAGTCATATTATTAAAATTATTTTGTCTCTGCTTCAGTACTGAGTATATGATGAACTTGCACAGTAAATGAATCACTAACATTGGAAACAGCAGAAATCACTATGAAAAAGACGTTTCAGATAAAGACTAAAAACACATGCTTTTTTTTTTCTAATCTACTATCCTTCAGAATTTTTACAAAGAAGAGCACTAAACTTTTTTTCTGCTTTGAAATAAACTACATTATTTCAGCTTTTGGAGCTACTCTCCATCAGCTGTGCCACAGCAGTACAAACCACCACAGAAATAACACGGTCCTACCGCAACACAGATAAGGAGCAGATTCTCAAAACACAGCAACCTGTCTTTTTACTGCACGCTTATGCTTTCAAATGGGAGCAAGGCTCGTAAACGGACAGCTTTTCTGTACACTAACTTTAAGATCCAGAGGTTTCAGCAACTTCTAGCACTTGTCTCCAAGACCAGGCTCAGCCCAACCTGCGACAGACCCCGAGTCTGGCCAACGCCACAGCTAACAGCTACCACCAGGCCTACCTACTGGCATGCGGTGTAGTCTAGACCACGCTTTGGGAAGGAATACAACTATTTTTTCTGTCCAGCTTGCAGTCGGCATGCATCCCGTTATGACTCGCGGCTTGGCTAAAAACAAGGACAAACAAACCCCATTAAAAAGAGGAGCTGGAGGGGGGCAGCCAGGCAGTCCCAGCTCCTACGGCAACACCCTGCCACCGCTTCCCCGCGCCCCCCACCTACCTGGATGTATTTCATGAGCTCCCGCACGTAGCGGTCCCTGTCTGAGGGGACATCGCAGTGGGACTGCATGTACAGCACCGGGGCATAGCCCTTCCGCCGCCACGCGTCCTTCTCGGC